ATTTAGTGGAGACGGGTCATTTTGACCCGGAGGACAAAGGGTGCATACAGAAAATGAGGACAACAGGAGCATTAAATTCCAGTGAAATATATTTATGTTTGTGGTTGTAATGTGACAAAATATGGAAAAGTTCAAGGGGTATGAATACTTTTGCAAACCACTGTAAATAAAACGAGGAGCTGGTGGTGGACCTGAGGAGGAACAAGACATCAGTGACCCCTGTGTCCATCGGAGGGGTCAGCATGGACATAGTGGAAGACTACAAATATTTGGGGGTACATATTGATAATAAACTGGACTGGGTCAAAAACACAGACTCTGCCCACAGGAAAGGCCAAAGTCGTCTCTACTTTCTGAGACGTCTGAGGTCCTTCAACATCTCCCGGACGGTGCTCAGGATCTTCTATGAGTCTGTTAACAACAGTTATCACCCTCTCTACGACACTGTTAGGAGTCAGAGAAGCACATTCAGTGCAAGGCTCATTGCACCTAAATGCACCACTGAGTGCCACAGAAGGTCGTTCCTACCGGTGGCATTCAAACTCTAACTCCGCCCGAAACATGTGAAACCACAAGTCATCTGTCACTTTAATACACCTGTTTACTTTATTTATCTACAATACCTTAAACTAACGTGCAATATCACTATCATCACCTATTCTTATGTCATCTAATGATATGTGATGGGACCTCTGCAGCAGTCATACTGTTTTTAGCTTCAGAGTACATTTTTATTTGTATTTACACTGTATAGATGCTAAAGTATGCCTATTGTTTGTTGTGTTCATTTGGTTCCCCAGAGTGTTTATACAAAGTTTTCTGCCATGGAAGGACATGTCAAAAGTGGGACCTCTGTTCTGGATATTTATTTGGATTCTGATCACTGGATTCTACAGATTGGTTTGGTGGTCTCCTGGTGTTTCTACAAAACAGCATCGGTGGCTGTTCATTTCCTGGCTGCCTGACCATTATGAAGGATTGCCATTCTATCAGAATTCAGACTTTTGCCTTGTGCGAGCTGGACTCGGTCTGCAAGCGGTTCTGCTGAGGGTCGCGAACCAGCTGTGGTTCCTGGAACTTTGCTGGCGAGATGGAATTGATCTTGGAGAAAGTTGAAAGCTCGGCTCGGTGGAATTTGTCCACATTATTTGTCTGATTGGATTCGCCACATTGAGTTGTACCAGCGGACATTAAGGCTCATGGAAAATTGTTGTTTTCTGCCTGGCTCTTCTGTTCCCAAAACAATTGATTACAGATTTGGCTCTCCCTCTACATGGCCTTGAAGAGCTATGAACTAAATTCTTCCTGGATGTTTACATCAACTGAGGGTCTGCCCCCCGTTTGTGATCTGGTTCCTGGAGCAAGCTGAGGGCCGCGCAGAATGAACAGTTAACGTCCATATTCTGGACTATGGCTGCCGAGTTTTGGGGACTCGATTCTTCGGGCTCATTTTTCAGATATTCACACAAGTGCATACAACACTCATGGCTTCAGATACACACACCACTAAACTCACTTACTCCTCTGGCTAATAAATGTGCTCTGTGCAGAGGTTTTTGTTTTTAATAAACATCATAGTGTGTCACATTTGTTGATAGAATATGATGCTTTGTTTTTTTTCCTCATCTTCCCTTGTGTGGTTTTTAGTTTTTCTTTTAAGGGCTGCACCCCCCTCATTATGTCTTCATGAAGATGATCCTTGTTTTGTGCAGGATCTGTGGCTGCATGACCCAGGGAACCTGTTCTCCTATGTTTGTTGTGTTCTGCCTTCTTCTGAATGGGTGTTCTGAACTGTAACTTTTCCTTCATATTTTATCTCTAATGCTTACTTGAACGGTTGAAGCTGTAATAATTGCAACCCTCCCCCCACCAATCAATAAAGCATTCTGATTCTGAAAACAGGGATACATTCATAACAAAATGAGCCAAAGAAAGAGGCTAGAGTAAATTATGCTGAAGTACTTTTTTCAAAGCTTATAGTTTCTTGTTTCAAGCTTCAAATTTCACTTTTACGTTTTCTGTTATTTCATGTTGAAATCATTTATTTTTTAATACTAAAAAAACCTTCATCACAATAAAGCACGTTTCACCTAAGGCCCGCAAACCAAATGTGCCCAACAACGGCATTTTATGTAGCCTGCGAGAGCTTCAAATATGTACTGCCTTAAAGTAAGTGTATAGTGCTTTAAAGCCAGCACTGACCATAGACTACATCTCCCATAATGCATGTTGATTATTGTACTTGTGAAATTACAGCGTCCCATCACTGGCTGGAGGTGCACAAGGCTCAAAAGTAGCCAGGAGCTTTCATCCTGTGAAATTCACCATGTAAAATCTCAATTTCCCTGCATTTTCACTGGATACTTTTGCTGCAGCCCATTTGTACTGGGAAGTGAGAATTTCCCACTTACAATCAGAAATTTAAATTGGCACGCCCCTGCAGTGGGAATTCCTTGTTTAAAAGTGGGAGAGTTCAGAATTCAAAATGGTAGCTACTCACCACAACTCAACAGACACTGTTTCTCAGCACAAAATACCACGTAGAGCTCTGTTATTGTTTGTTAGTGATGCTCAGCCATGGTAATGAAACAAGAGATGTTTAGTGTTTAGTCAGTTAATTACAACTTACACCACAATGTTCATTTGGTCCTTAGAGAGTTTGACACCCCTGTAAAGGAATGTACAAAGATTCCCATCATTGGATGTCGATCAGAAAATAAAAGTTTACAATTAATTGATCAAATATTTACCATCATATGGTAAATGGACTGAACTTATAGCAGCTTATCAAGTCACTCCGGACCCCAAAGCGCTTTACACTTACAGACATTCACCCATTCACACTCACATTCACACACTGATGATGGTAAGCTACACTGTAGCCACAGCTGCCCTGGGGCACACTGACAGAAAGCTGCCATGCACCGGCGACACCGGATCTGCTGACCACCATCAGTAGGCAAGGCAGGTGAAGTGTCTTGCCCAGGGACACAACGACAGAGACGGTTGGAATGGGGGATCGAACCGGCGAACTTCCGGTTATGGGACGACTGCTCTAACCACTCCACCATAGCCGCCCTAAGATAAGGTCAGAACTAATTTGGTTGCAGCTAATTTCAGTATGTTTTTCTGTAAGTGTAAGTTTAAAAAGGACATCATCGATTTGTTAAATTAAATTTCCTAAATCCTTTAAATCCCTAATCCCTGAAGCCCTTCTCTATTAGAACCTAAGTGCTGTATGTAAAAACAACAGCACAGTTATTTAGGCTTTAGATCTCTCTCTAGAATTAACTTGTGCATTTATTTGTACTTACATGTTAACAGTGTTGAACTAAACTCAATCACCTCCATAAAAATACTTTCGTTCATGTTTGACTTGTTATTTCTTGTCTCTGTTATTTCCCCCCTCATAACAGCAGATTGTGAAACAGAGACACCAGAGTGTTTTAGAAAGAAAATGTAAAACTAATACTTCTTGTTCTGTGATGGACTTGCGACCTGTCCAGGGTGTACCCCGCCCCTCGCACTGTGACTGCTGGATATGGGCACCATTGACCCATGCAACCCTGAAAAGGAAGAAGCGTGTACAGAAAATGGACGGATGGAATACTTCTCGTTATTAGAGGGATGCCCTGAATGCTGGTAAACATTAAAGTGGTGAAAGTTGTACAAATTGCACGAGTTTCAGACAATTATGAGACAAGATGTATTGGGACTTTAGTGATTGAATTAAATCGGAAGAAAACAGCGAGGAGAAGAACTGCGTCAGTGTCTTTGTCATCATAGACGTCATTTGAGCCACTGGTGTAAATCTGAGAAATGCTCCGAAACTTTCTGTTCAATTTATGGATGTATATAAAAAAAACAATACATACAATGGAGTGTGTACTGTACATGGTCAAAAACACTAGAGCTTTAGGAAAAGTAATCTGAAACCTGTTTGTGTTTCTGTAAGTCATGGCAGAAAAAGGGAGAAAAAAAAACCTTGGGTAGTGTTTCTGCAGGCCTGTTCCACTAATGATTTCCTTCTCAAATATCCTGCAGTGGATCATATCATATTAGGTGCATAATACTCCAAATGACTGTGGTTACAAGAAGAGGCTCTATTGTGTTAGTTTTTATTGTGTTAGTTATAACAAATGAAAAATAATATGGAAGAGCTCTGTTTTGTCTGATTACGTCTCAGGACTTTGTGTGGAGAAACTTTTTTTCCTCTTCTTTTATTATTTGGACGTCCAAAGATGAGAAGAAAAGAAGGAAAAGCTTTGAGAGACCAACATACCAGTCTTTAAAAAAATAATAATAAAGGGAGGGGGGCAAGAACACAAACGATTTAAGAAACAATTCAGTATAAATGTGTTTTGTACTACAACTGTAAATGTGCTTCTTATTCCCTAACTAGAAACACGTGTAAATACCTCAAATTTTATTCAACAAATACACTGCAACTGTATGTCATGAGATCTATGAATTGTTAGCAACTCCTGAGGAAAATATTGTACCATTAGATATAAAGCTTTAGTAATTAAACAGAAGTATTAAACATTATCCAACACTCCATGTACACCAGTGGGATCCCTGAATACTTGTTCATGTTGGCCATATGTTATTTCTGTATTCTACTCAAAGTTGTTGTTTGTCAAGTGAAAACATCCAATTACTTTAAAAATTGTCTGTTTATTACATTTTTTGTCTTGAGCATGTCACCATTTGTTACTGACACAAAGCATTTTGGGGATGATTATCATGATGGTGATGACGGGTGCCACTTGAGACTGAAGTACAAAGACTAAAAAGCTAATTTATATTTTTGACTAATATGTGTAGAATTACAATAACTATATTTCAGTTCCTTCTGCACTGATTGTCATCCTTTTTGTAGCTTTCTCATTGTAGGCTAGAATATAATTTGAAAGTCAAACCTTATTTTAAAACTGCTATGTTGAAAAATTAAGCCTGTGGTAAACGATCGTATAAAATGTACCTGAGATTTCATTTCATACAGCGATGAGTTGTCTGGAGTCAGCTGAATAGCCTCGTCCCACTTCTTGATGGCCTCCCAGTGCCTAAAGAAAACACACACTATGTTCAGATCCAACAGAGAAAACTGATGGATCATTTGAAAACAGACACTTTGAACGGTACACAAAACGTAGCTTACTGGTAAAATGTGCCCTGTGGTGTGAAACAGAGATTTGTATTGCTAGATGAACCACAACCAATAATCCCATAAAGCCATGCAACTGGACACTCAGTTTCACTGTCTCTGCCTTAATATTTGACTTGTGTGTAACCAGGAATAAAGTTAGGTCAGGGGACATAATGAGGTGATTTGCCCTGATTGTTTATGAAAACAAGCTTTTGTGAAATCCGTCTGACTCATGCCTCTACTTAAGTAAACCCTTTGCCCTCGTGATTGTGTGTGTGTGTGTGTGTGTGTGTGTACGGGTTTTTCCTACAACATGGGGTATTTTTTACAAAAAAAGCAGCCAGGTGGGGATCGAAGTGAGTCGTGGGGAACAATGTCAGGTCCCCACGGGTCCAAATGCATGTTACAGTTGTGGGGTTAGGTTTAGGACCAAGGTTTAGGTTAGTTTTAGGGTCAGGTAAGTTTCTGTGAGGTTAATTTTAGAGTATATGGTCAGGGTTAGG